GGGACGTTTCTCCGTCGGAGATGAGAGGACGGGAGAAAGGAAAACGGAGGAGAGAGGTTCTCGCGCGGGTCACGTATGAGTATCGGCTCTTAAAGTAGGGCGACTCGCTTTTAACGAATAATTTTCTAGTTCGGAAAAACTCGCGCGAAATTGCGAATATCCGGCGCTGCTCTCTCATCTCCGCGCGCGGGATGGGCATGCCGAGGATGAAGCTTAGCTTTGTAAGGTCCCGCTACGATGCGCCGGCCGAATGAAAGGATTTATAGCGCGTGCACGTTCTCCTTCTTGCCTCTCTTTTTTCCCCCTTTTTCTCTCTTCTCTTCTCCCCCTGCTCTCCGCGTGCAACGTAGGACGCGCGAGGAAGAAACCTTCGATTGTGCGCGGCACTTTCAGCGATGCTTCCGGAAATCGGGAAAAGTGCTCTCCCCTTTCTATAGCGAGTCGGTAATAACCGTACTCGGAGCAGTTTCACGTGCCGCGGCTTCGATAATCTTTCTCTACGGCTATTGCGATCGTTATCATTGCCTCGTAGACCGCATTCTTTTCGAATACGGTTACGGTCCCAGCCAGTGTGCACCGGGGAATATCAAACCCCCCATATGCCCTTTTCCGATCCTTACCGCGCGAGGACTGCATAACGAGCTTTGTATCTCTATATACACCACTCTCTCTCTCTCTCTCTCTCTCTCTCTCTTAGAAATCTTCCATCTCCTCTTTATCGCACGTCCCATCCACCACAGCGCCGAATTTCTTCAGCGATCGATGAAATCGCCCTACTACATCATACGCGTCCGCGTTTCGCGAGGAGAATAAACAAGGTTGACTCGGATCTACGTGCATTCCAACCCCGATACCAAGGTAGCCGTTCCTCCATCCACTTTGCTCGGGTTCACGAGAACTTGGCCAACTCCGCGACGGCCTAAATCTCCTTTTCCGCTTTTAAGCTTTAAGCATCATCGTGGACGCTACTTGCGCGCTGTTTCCGTCCGCGTTACCCTCGTGCTTATATATTTATGCGCCGCTGAGCGGATACGACCCTACGCCGACGCCGCGAGCTCGCAACTTTCGACTCCGCGAGTCGAGGGGGTTCCGAAGGAACGTCGACGTTCAAAGGGAAAGCTCTCGGTGGTCCCCGCGACCCAGTCCATAGGTGCTTCCAGGCCCATAGAATCGTCGATGTTCGCACGGCCATTCGAATTTCGACGTGTTAAAATCAGGGAGCAAGGTTGAAGGTTCGCGACTCACATTAACGACGAGGAACGCGGTACGAAGGCCCTTGCGAGACTCTCGAGACTAACCCCATTTTCGCGCAGCCTCGCGAGAGTTTCGGTCAAGCCGAGTGCCCGAAAAACGACGGAAACGAGCCGGTAGTTGCTTATCGCGCGTCGTCTTTCCACCGGCAAGAACGTTTGAAAAGAGTCGCGGTCCCGAAGAAACCGCTCTGCACCGAACCGTTGCCAGGGCAAGACCAGCCCGGCACCCTTTGCGGTCCAGCGGCACGGAACGCTCTGGGTAATTAAATATTTCCGCGCGGCAATGAACGCTATAAACAGAGCCGTTGAACGACGTAATTACAGGCCGGTGTCCGAGCGGGTTATCAGCATCACGGGCGAATATTTTCGTTAATTCCCGCGTTTCCGGCGAAAAATGCCCGCTTTGGTCCTCTAAACGCTCCCGATTCACGGTTCAACGTGCGGGCAAACAACGATAATTGCCGGTCGAGTGTCGTTGAAGGCTTCTCGAGGAAGAAAATGACGCGAGTTCCCGGTTCTTCGGGATTCGAATTCGTCTCGTCTTCGCGATTCCAATACCTGTTTGTTACTAGCTCAGATCGAATCTCCTGCACGCAGGGGTAATATTTTCGTTGATTTCCGCGTTTCCGCCGAAAAATGGCCGCTTTGGTCCTCTAAACGTTCCCGGTTCGCGGTTTGTGGGGCACAGGAATTCAAAATTCGCGGCTATAACGCGTGAGCAACCAAAAACAAAGATAGGATATCGTTAGGTGGAAGGAGTTTCGTGTCTCATGTGTCAGTCGCGAATTAATCGTGTAATTGAACAGTGCGTAGAGAGAGAGAGAGAGAGAGAGAGAGAGAAATATTTTTATATTTTGTACCGTCTCTTCTCATTGAATATATTTCTGTTCGTTTTGTCAGTGCATTTATAATTCCACGAGCTCGTCATTTCAATTCAACACGGTTTAATGTGCGGGAAAACGACGATAATTGATAATTGCCGGTCGAGTGTCGTTGAAGGCTTCTCGAGGAAGAAAATGACGCGAGTTCTCGGTTCTTCGGGATCCGAATTCGTCTCGTCTTCGCGATTCCAATACCTGTTTGTTCCTAGGTCAGGTCGAATCTCCTGCACGGAAGGGTAATATTTTCGTTGATTTCCGCGTTTTCGCCGAAAAATGGTCGCTTTGGTCCTCTAAATCTTCCTGGTTCTCGGTTTAACGTGCGGGCAAACGACGATAATTGATAATTGCCGGTCGAGTCTCGTTGAAGGCTTCTCGAGGAAGAAAATGACGCGAGTTCTCGGTTCTTCGCGATTCGAACACATTATTTCTACTTTAGATCGAGTCTCCGGCAAGGAAAGGCCGCAACGATGTCGCGTCGATGAGGAAAGATCGCGTTTCGGCCGTTTTCTCTTCTTCCATTCGACACAATCGAAGGGCGAGACGAGAGAAGAGGGTAGCTTTTTTGAAGGCAGCGAAACACGGGCGACGAGGTTCTTTGTTCCCCGCGCACGTTGCTCGTATAGGAACCTAGAAGCTGAGCCGCGAGGCTGGAATTGGCCAGTGGCGAAAATTCCTCCGGTTTCATAGGTTTTTACGGTTTCGCGAACAACGCGAGCGACGCTCATCGCGCGATTGTTACCGAGCCCCCCCGCGAACTCTCCGCTCGGCCGATGCCGAGGAAAAATGCAAACTATTATACAGGGCACAATAGGCCCGACGAGGCTTTCACTCGTTATCGGTAACGAATCGCCTTCGGGTCGTGGACAATCGGCGAAATCGCTCGTGTTCCACTTCCACCCCGCGGTGCTACCCTTTCATAGACGATACCTCTCGCAGGACTCCTCGAATTTCTATCGCGCGACCCAGGGGGTGAAAGACTCTTCCTTGCCCCACGGTCGACAGGCCTGACAGAGAAGACCGTAATTTGCACCGACAAAAGGATCGTTCTGCTCTTTATCGCGATCCGCAGTTTATTTTTCGAGACGTTGCCGGAGACGCGTAGCCCGATACCCCGAGACGCGTGTATTCGCGACGAAACGGGGCGCATTGAAAGACGACACACGTCGGCTCGATGGATGTCCTTCCATTTAAATGCAAAGCGACGTCGAGGCAATTTTTATCGGGTCGTAATTGCTCGTTCCGGCTAGAAGGAACGAAGGAAAACTCGATTGTCCGTTGTTCCGGATCGTGCAAGCGATGTTGGATTCTTCCGGGGCGATCGTTGGAATGAATTTTCACCGCGACAAGGGCCATTCTTGCCTTTCGATTCGACAGGGGTGGCAAGGAAATACGCAAACACGGCGTCGCCGACTTGCGTCGGGGCACGTGCTGCACGGTCCAGAGTCACGGTTGCTTCGCGGACACCGGCAGAGGAAATTCGTATCTACCTTGACGTAACCCGAGAAAGCGAAAGACCAATAGCCAACGGCCATTCTCGAGATAAATTCCATCCAACTTTTGTCTCTTTCGCTTTCCTCGTTCTGTCCCTTCGCCTGCTTCTTTCAATTCCTCTCGCCCTTTCCCCCCTCACGTGCCCCTCTCTTCGTTAACGTCTTTCCTTTCTCGGGGGCGAAACTTTCTCGTTACCTTCGCCGAGAAAATGCACGACTTGTCGAGTTTCGTCCAATTGAATAGCGGCGCCGTTCGTCCCCCGGATAAAGGGGCGATTTCAAGCTGTCACGCGGACCAGCTCTTGGCGGATAGCATTTTTGCATTCGTCCGTTTTATTACCTCGGCCTCCGGTCTTGTCCGCGAGTTTGTCCGCTGCGGTACACCGGCGTCCCGCATTGTGCGCGAATTTCGAGCGTGCCAGTTTTTTGCGTCCCCGCTCGATTGTATCAGAAACCGCGGCGCGTTCCTTTTGTCCGCTCGGCGCCGTGCAACTTTTTCGTCGGTTTGTTCCCGAAATTTCCCCGTAACGAACTTTACATCGCGGTCCAATGAAAAACAATTAGTTGCTCTGTTTACCTGCGAGCGGGCGCGCGTTCACTCGCCTCGCCCTTTCCAATTTCGCCGTTCGCTGAGAATGCATCGATTCTGGGGAAAGTAATAAAAAAAAAAAAAAAAAAGAGAGAAAAAGAAAAGAAGACACGAGGAAAAATGCGAGAGAAGAAGAGACTCGCGGGAAAATAAATTTCCCTTATCGGAAACGGAGAGCTTCGATATCGTTCCCGGAAACAGTCCCGATCGCGAGCGCGAGCGCGAGAGGGCAAGGAACGCGCACGAATTTCCATGGAAAGGACGAAAAAGCCTGGGCTCCCCGTGATTCGACGCTCGATCGCGAATCGGACACACGAAGGACATTCCTTTCGAGCTTAATTCCTGGTGTAATTAGAGGCACGCTCCGGCTATGGAACTTTGTCCATGCGCGTCGTTACGACGACATTGTTCTCCGCCGGCTATAAATTCGTACCTTGCGATTCTCCTGCTTCAACGGCACTCGAGTTAACGATTACGCTAGAGTTTTCAGTTATTCGTTAAAATTTCAACAATTTTCCGTGGCGCACGCCAAAAATTCAAGCACCGGCGGACCGGCAGGAGGGACGGGTCTCTTCAGGCTCCTACAGCGAACGTTACAGCCCCTAAACGCGAACTCTCACCCCCCGGTACCGTGTATCTCGTTTTAAATTCCACTTACCGTCCTACCATCGCCGTCGAACCGAGCTGCAACGTTCCGCGAGTAGATCGACCGGTTACGAATTTCCGTTTACTCCCGTTTTTATGGATATTCGCGTGGGTTACCCCGTAGTAATTTGCTCGCACTCACCCGTCTATCAGCGGCACGTCCCTGAGTATTCTGCGAGCAGCCGCGAGTCGATCTCCTGCATGGGCAGCGAGCAGAATCCTCGTCAGTAGCTGACCAAGGACCATCACGCCCACCACCATCCTCATCCTCCTCCTCGCTGGACCCGCAGCTCTTCCTTACTAATGTCCTCATGCCATCACCGTCGGCTGACCGGCTCACCCGCAGGATATCCCTCCTAACAGCGATTCTACAATTTCCCGTCTGTCGCGTTCGACCTCTTTTCACTCGGACGTTACCCGGTTCTCACCCTTCACTCGTCACAGTTCATTCTCGCTCGTCGTCCGACGCACCCGGAAATTTGCGATTTTCCCGACTTGCTCGATTTTCCCGATTTCTTCGATGACCTTCTTCTTCTGTCACCAATCCTCGCGATAATTCCACGCGGTTGACTCGATTTCCCGTCTATTATCGCCAGTCTACAGCCTACGTCGTGCTCCGTACAGAGAGATCATAGGTCTCCCTTCTTCCTCGGTCTCTGTTTCCTCTTTGGATGCTCGCGTTCGCGCATCTTCCTGGATTTCCACGAGTCGTCTAATAGTTTTCCGCCGTTCTTTATCCCGGTCCAGCTCCCAGTTTCCGGCTAATCTTCTCGTCCCATCTTTTCGACTTTGTCGTCCGTGCTCGATACCCTCGCCGAGAAACTTTCTCGGCCCGTTTATTCTATTTCCCCCGCTGCTAGCATCCCGCGACTTTCCTGCGCGGAACAGCTATTTCCGCGCAAGCATCGGTGCACTGTCCGCTCCTTATCTTTACGCCCGGTCCCCGCGCAGCGCGATGGGACGACTGTTTTTAATTTCCCCGTTGGGACGGGATCGCGATAGCGAGGCGTCGTTTAACCGGAAGTTGCGCAGCTCCGCTTCGACAACGGTTGCTCGCGAATAGCATTCGCGGAGTTTTTCGAATCGCGATTCTTCGCGCAGCGAGAGATCTTCGTCGAGAGGATTCTCTTCTTTGGCGATATTTCTCCTTCGAGTCCGAGCATCCGAGCTTTCCTCCCTTCGTAATCGCCGCGCGGGATTAGCTGGTCGAGCCTGTTCCCATCTATCCGGCCTACACGCCCTGCTTCTCCTCGAGAGATCGCAAAGAGAAGCTCGTGGAGATCGGGCAAGCGCCTTTTCGGAGCCTCCCGACGATCACAGTGCCTCCGGCTTTTGATCGATGTTGCGTTCAGGCCGAGAAGGTTGAAGCGAATCGAACCGTTCTCGCGGAAACACTCTCGCGGCGCGACTGTGTGCTAATTACCCTGGAGAAGGCCAGTGGAGGGCCTCGACTCTGTCGAAATTATTTGCCCTGGCGAATCCACGACGCGGAGTGAGAGAGCCGGAGCTCGTTATCGCGGACGACGACCGGCAGAGCGATTCTTCCTGGCGATGATTTTATTTTCGAAACACCGTGTGGCCCGCATCGGCCGCTGTCGTCGGACGCCGCGGGGCTACCGCGAGTGTTGCGGGCAGAAGATTAATTAGCGGCGCGAAGAGGGCAGGCGACGGAGGCGGAACGTACGGGCAGCAGGCGAGCGGGTGGAGCGTGAAAAACTGGTTTTGCTCGATCGTTTCCTTTTGGATACCGGCTGGATCGGTGTTCCGGGACGGTCGGGGTGATGTACGATCCGTGTCCCTTTAACGTCGTCGGATCGAACCACGCTCCCGTGCGGTCTTTTTCATTTGCGACCGCCGCGCGGTCATCTGCACGCACCGGTGATACTTCATGATCGTCCACGGTATCGCGGTCCACTGTCACGGACCTCGATCGTAAATCTGTCCCAATTAATTCGGTACTCGATTAAGTCTCGCGATTAATTACGCAATCTCCGTGCCAGGGGAGGACGGATTCCTCCTGCTCGCGCGTTGCACTCTCTCCTTCTCCCTCTCTCGCTCCCACTCACTCGCTCCTTCTCTGTCTTTCCGGTTCGGCCAACACCGCTAGCAAATGATGGATCGTCCAATCCGACGTTGAAACCTTTTTTCCAGTCCCTTCTATCGCGTCCGCGGGCACGATCTTCTCTCTCTCACGAGCTCCTCCGCGCGACCGACCGACCGATCGTTCCGTGGGGAGTTCCGCTCGAACGATGCATTACTGCGATCCCAGGTTGGGGAAAAAAGAGGCGCGGATCAGAACCGGAAAGTATTTTATCGTTTGTCGGCTCTCGCAATTTCCCGGTTCTCTCTCCCTGCGCACTCGCCCTGTTTAGGTTACCACCTCGATCGGTAGGTCGAGGCGGAGGTAGAGGCAACGGGGACCGCCTAATCGCTTCCACGAGCAATTAGCGCGTAGCCGCGTTCTTTCGTTCGGCGTCGCGACGCGTAAACTCGATTAACAATCGAACGCGGCTTAGAGGAACGCGGTGGAAACGCAGCTCGCGACCAGGCCGTTAACGTCCGCTGCGGCTAACGAGTCGGTCTCCGTTCATAATTATTCTACACACAGGATCGTATAGCCTCGCGACCGGTTATCCGCGCGATACGCGATATTTATCTCCCCGACGCGTGATTAATTAGCGCTAACGACGTTAACCATCACGCTCTTTGATCCTTTGATCCTTGACAGGCGTCGACCAACGGCCTCGTACGCGCAACCTTCCCGAAAGCGTTCCTGCGTCCCTTCCGGTCCGGAACCTAGCTCCGTTTCTTCGCGAGCGATTGTATCCGGGGTATCCTTGAGCTATCGAAACGAGAATATTCCGAGGATGGCAATTTCGCTCGGCCGCGAACAGGTCGCGAGTGTACTCGTCGTTAATTTCCGGCTCGTTTATCGCCGCGCGTAAAGCACTCGTATCGGAAAGGCATCGTTCGGCCGGTGAACACACGAGCGTGCGTGGTCGTAAAAAGTCCGCGACGAGCGGGTGGTCGCAGCTGCGTAACCGCCGGGAGAAATTACCGCGATCGCGAGCGAGAGAGCGGAGAAAAATTCGCGCGCGGAAAAGTTTGGCGGAGAACTCGTCGGAGGAAGTTTGGACGCCGTCGGCCCGGGCGGAAGTTTGGTCGCGTGAACGATGGCGCGAGTGGTCGCGCGAAAAACCGAATCGCGGATTAAATGGCGGAATAAACGACGGAAGAAAGGAGGGAAGAAACGGCGGGGCGAGAGCGAGGGAGAAGCGGAACCACGGGCGGTCCCGATGGCGCGTCGAAACTTTCACTGGAGAACCTTCTGCGAGGGGTTGCGCTGGTGGTGGTCGAAGGGGTCGTCGGAAGGGTGTTAGCACGGCGTCCGAGTCACGCGGCCCCGATCACTGGTTGTTCGCGGTCCGGAGTTGAAGACCCGACTGATGGAAACGTACGCAGAAACTCGGTATAGCCGAGGGCGCAGGCGCTCCCGTTCCTCTCCACGATCTTCCTCTCTTCCACTGGGATCCGTTCGCCTATCTCTCTGCCTTCTCTTCCGGAACCGCTATCCCCTTCGACGCTTCGTATTCCGATCTCGCGTCTGCATACAGGGACGACCCACCGCGGTCGTCGAACACGCGATCCTTGCAGCTTTTCGAATCGCCAGCCCGCTGCCACCCCTTTCGCCTATGTATATCTTGGCCGGCGGCAAGTCGAGAGGAAAGCAGACGGCGTCACGGCTACGCCGATTTAGATATTCCCTGTATGATCCAGCGGGCAACGAGCAGCGAGCCGCTCCTTTACGGCCCCGTAAACCCGATCGCGTCGCCTCCATTCCTTTTTTACGGCACGGTCCGATACGCGCGCCACTCCTCCACCAATTGTTTCGGCAACGAGCCGCTTTCGGTGGTTCGATCTTCTCGTTACCCCGATATCTTCCGCTTTTTACGACGCCTCGTCGAATCCACCGGAGCTTATCCATCTCGTCTCTTCCGTCGAGAGAGTAGAGTCGCTCGTCTTCTCGACGTCCGTGGATCGGCGTCTCGAGAAGCTCGAGACGTACACCTCTCTCGCCGGATCGGTCGAGGATCGAAGACGCCATTGCCGAGAGAAGAAGCGCGAAACGAAGAACCGTGGTCCTCTAACGCGGGACGAATCTAATTTCACGCGTTGCCAGTTGATAAACGGATCCACCCGACGCGTCGGATCCGCGACGACTCGTTCCTTCGGCTATCGCGACGCCTCCGTCGAGTTACTCCTGATTAATCTCTGCCTATCTCGCGCCTGTCTGTCTTCCCTCTTCTGCCTCGGTTCACTCCCCGTCAGTCAGCGGGTGGTTGACTCGTCTCGTCGACGGCCTAACGCAAATTTCGAAAAGGTTTCGCAGCCGCGGCCATATATCCGGTTAACGCTGTCCGCGCTCGCCGCGACGCGGATGACGGCGCGTTTCGCGTTGTCGACGCTGCCACTTCCGGTCTGCCTGCTCCCGCCAACCGGATTCGTCCCGCGATCACGAGGGTAATCGACGAGATCGCGGTGTCTCCGGCTAAGTGGCGTCGATTACGCGATGCCCGCGTGTAAATGCTCGCCGATCGATGTCGCGATGTCGAGTCTCGCGTGCGCGCCCGTTTCCGGTGCAGCGTATCCGCCGAGCGGAAGCTTCTTTCGGAAATTCATAATTAATCCCGTCAATGTCACAAGGTCGATTCCGCTGGACGCGAAACGCCGTGCAGCCCCGAGGGAGAGCGAATTTGAAATGGGCTATGGAGGCGTGTCCCGGCGTTCGATCGTTATTTCGAACCCGGTCCGGCGAATTTATCGAAAATCATTAAAAAAGAGAACAAAAATACGAGACCGGGGAAAAATCGCGCTCGCAGATTTTTGCCCGCGAACGCTCGGCTGCCTCTGCCTGGTCGCGATTCGAGTAATTACCGGTACGACGTGGAATAATTATTATCGCGCGCTGCGTTAACGAGGAGAAACGACGCGGTCCGCGCGCGGAATACGGCCGGCGGACCGGGCGGAAATGCGCGTCGCGTAAATACGCGCGCGAAATGGCGATCGGCGACGCGATCGTCCGGTTGCCGCTGTGCAGCAGCAGCAGCAGCTCTCGGTGGCTGGACTCGTGGTTACGTGGACGCGTCGCGACGGTCGATTCGAGCGGACGCGAGTCACGCGGCGATGCCTCGAGAGGAGACTGGCGATGATCCAACGAGGCACGGCTCGTCCCGACGACACTCCATTATCGTCGGACGTGTGCCGTG